TATATTTAGATGCGTATAAATGAGTTGGTGACATGCATAGGTAGTATTTTTTCTTTTATCGCTTATATGAACTAAAAAGATTAGGTAAAGCGAAACAGGACAAATTATCTGCTAAAAAAAATATGCGTGATAAGTGTAATTATTTGACCACGTTTGACCATGTTAATTGTTTAATTTAGCTGGAATTAAGATAATAAAAGCAACTTGTGTATCAAATATATTTAATAAACTTAATAGTTCAAAAGTTGCGAGCGTACTAGCACAGTATATACAAAAAATTCGGGTTAATAAAATTTGATTTTCGAGGCTCTTTACACTTACAAGATTACCACTACTCATACTGCTCATGCTATTCATTGGTGTAAAATAGAACCTTCCAGAACCACACATACCGAATTTAATCCATCAAGAACCAATAGGAAAATTTGGACGTAAAGCATAGCACAAATATTAAGACCCTTTTTATAATGGTAGATAGGTTAGTCATGGCAAAAAAATGTCCAGAACACGTCATCGAAGATCTCTTCCGGCCTCTTTGACGTAGCCCGATAAATCATATGTTATACGAAAATTAAATCATCAATATCCTTCCTCATAATAAAACAGAGTTGGGGGATATTTTTTTTTGCGGGCGCCGAATAACCCTTCCCCTTAATGGCGGTGTCGAGTAACTTATGATGTAACGGGTGAAGAAATTTGACGGTTTCCAGTTTTCTTTCGAGAATCTGCGATTACATAACATATCTACGTAAAAGAACAGTTATAAACTGATTTCGCCGACAAATTTCAGCACAATTCGGTTGGTTAGCCTGCTTTATAGTTAGTGTTTGCTAGAAATTATCAGTAAAATAGCTGTCGGATAAATGGTTGTCTGCAAATTCTACTATAACTATAATGACATACGTACATATTTGCATAGAGATATAAATGTAAAAATTTCATACATATATGACCTTGAACAATAGTAATTGATAATAAGAATCATGATTTTAGACTCAACAGTTAACATCTGATATAGGTCTATACGTTTGTCTTGGCATCTTCTATTTTTTTTCGTTAATTATTTATCCATTGTCATATAAAATAATGGCTATAAACTGCTCCAAACTTTTAGCCGCTTGCGTCTACCTACGTTTGTCATGCTTTACTAAATCTGTATTAACTATATACAGAAGACGTGACTTCGTTAAAAAGTAAATTTTCAGGAATTCAGTTGAATATGTATTATTGATTGCATGATTCTTAGATTAACCAAGAACAGCATTTCATTAATAGATTAACAAAGAACAGCATTTCATTAATAGATCAAAAAATCTTTAGAAGTTAAACACTATGTATTTCTATTTAAAAATCAAGTACAAGTGAACACCATCAAAGAAAAACCTATAGTTAAATATATAAATTTTATAAGTTTAATTACAGGTTTTTTCTTAGCAATACTCGAATATGAAAGATATATAACCATAGTGTGTCATATCTATGATTTTTTACTTTGATGATTGTTACTTTAATCCAAAAACTAACATTATGCCCTGTTATGCAAACATGATTATCAAAGCTAAATATGTTAGACGAAATGAACGAAATGAGAAGGAAGATGCAAAAATTTTTTCAGTATGAGCTATCGGAACGTACCCTCCAGGGCATGAAGATAATGAAATTGAAATAATTTTATTTATACCAGCAAATCCTGATGAACGAGACCTGGAGTCGCAAGCAATTTTTAAAAGAGACGAATATTACTCTGTCAGAGAAAAATTATACCCAGATCTTATGAGGGAAAAACTAAACCAAAAGTATTTAAATACTTTATTTAATACAGTCAACTCTCTCAAAGTGCAATTTGTTAAGACCAAATTTTTAACATATGCATTTAAAGAACAATGAAAAAAACTTGCATTTATAGAAAATCTATAGAAACCAAACATATACTTGGACTCAAAATTAAATTTGCATTTAGAGAGAGATTGTACTTAGAAAAGGTTGACCATAACACACAAATCAATATTAACAACAATTTAATACTTAGATGATAGCTTCTACCTTAACCCACATAACGATTACTGATAAACTTTCAGATTCGAATAAATGCCCCCTAAAATTTCTTTAGTAAGAATTCCACAAGAAATGCTAGTTGAAATTAAAGAAACTGACAACTCCATTATCGAGACGCACATATCTGATTATGCTGGTCAACCGTACAATTATATGATTAAAATTGCTTTTTCGCATATTAATTCACGATTCAAGCATCTCAAAACCACTATCCACCTACAAGAATTGATTTTTTTTATAATTGGGCAGATGGAAATAATAGATAACGAATTCTATGTTTACGCTAATGATATTAATTACATTGATGTTAACTTTATTTCTAAAAAAAAAGATTTAAACAATATTCAATCACCTTTAATAAATCCAATTTGATTTAAACTTATATGCATTCACCAAAATATAGTTAAAAATGAAAATGCTGGTACTTCACATAACAATGTTCAATCATTAAAATGCAAGAGATCTGATGATACAGATAAAACGAATAAAACAAATGAAACAAATAAAATGATAAAACTGGTAAAACCGATAAAATGGATAATCCTGATTGTTCTGATACTGATAACGTTAAAGACCAATTAAAAACAAGCCCGCAAGATTCTGTTCAAGTCGATGAAGAATTTAATGACAAAGTTAAATGTAATACACCTATTTGCAAAAAAGGTGATCAATGCACAACTCAAACTACACGCAATGCAAAAAAATTAAATCATTCAATCACAAATTCTGATAACGAATAATTGTTAGTTATATATATTTTTTTTTGGTTTTAAGGTGAGGCCTTGCTCATATTTTTATTAGTAATAATTTTTTAATAGTAACAAAATAAATTA